GAGGCCAATCTGTCTCTGACTACTGAGAGTGCCTCCTCCGTGGGTATCTTGGTGAACACTCATCACGTCCAAGCTCACCATCTGGTTGGATAGGATGGGAGCATCTTTGATTATTTCCACGAAGTGGGCGGAGTTTCGGACATATAAAGGAGACTTTCCAATCAATGGGTCAATTATATCTACAAGGAAGTGACTCAGAGGGTGGCACACAGAGCCTTGGCAACTAACAATCGGCTGGAGCGGAATACCGTCTTTGTGAATGTTAGGGAGACCGTATATGTGAGGTAGCTTGGTGTAACGCTGTGATAACTGCCTATACGTCTTAGGTGCGAAGTGATCCTTGTTCTTGATTATTTGTGACAGTTTGCGTTCCGTTTTCATAGTACGATCCTTTTTCACTTTGCTAATGAGGTCTTCCAGTTTTCTTGTATAATCTGATTTGTCCATCACTACAGTTGCATTACCTTTGTCAGCAGGTAGTATGATGATGTTTTCGTTCCTCTGTAGGAATCCGATCACCAGCCTCTCCAGTTTCATGATGTTTGACCTGGGTGGCTTAGTTCCCTCCAAGGTCTGTCTTACTTTCCATATGCTAGGCCACAAAAATCTCCTGAGCCGACCAAGCATAGAAATAAATACAATATAGGAACCAGTAATAAGGAGTGCCAGAGAAAAGCAATAATAACAACAAAAGTTGCAATATGAGCTCTGGTAAAAACATGCAATGATAACAGCAAAATTGCAATATGAGCACTGGTAAAAATGGTTGCTGAAGACATTAGGTTTATAATACCCAGAAATTCATACCCAGATGTTCTCAATGGCACATGGCACAGTGGATAAAGTTGTTGGTTAGATCCAGTGACAGGACCCAAAGAGTGTGAGTTCAATGTAGGTTAAGGCAGTGGAGAACTTTCAGAGGGAAATTAGCAGGAGATAACTGATAACTGACATCCATCAAAAACATGTGAGTGAAATAAAGGGTTCAGTTCGAAATTCCAACCACCTGAAGAAGGCTGGAGTGTACAACAGCCGAAACGTTGTGATAAATATGGCGACAAAGATGAGGACATTAGTCTGAATAATGTAAATGAATATGGTTAGGTGTACATGTCATGTCAGGGATTGAACCATCTTTTATACCAGCATGGCTGGGATCAAAGATACGTTTAGTGCACCTTTTGTTGATTGAGGTCACAGTTATAAGTCATCTTGTCATTGGTATATTTGGTTTAGGGAATGGATGTTGCTGGGGTCAACAGTGAAGGGAAGTGCTTTGTAAATGAGACAAGGTAGGACAAAGTAGATTGAGGTAGGCCAAGGTGACAGCGGGTTTTGTGGAATGGAGATCGCTGCATTGAATACAAAGGGAGTGCCTTTTAACGAGTTGAGGTAGAGCAGTTCTGTAGAACAGAGGTAGCTACATCAACTGTAAAGAGAGTGCTTTGTAGCGAGTTGAGGTAGAGCTGTTCAGCAGAATGGAGGTAGATGCATCAACTTCAAAGGGAGTGTCTTGCAGTGAGCCAAGGTAGAGTGTTCTTGGAATGGAAACGCATCAACTTCAAAGGGGGGGTCTTTCAGTGAGCCAATAGAGCTGTTCTGTGGAATGGAGCATCAACTGCGTCTTGCAGTGAGCCAGGTGAGCTGTTCTGTGGAATGGAGGTAGATGCATCAAGGGAGTGTCTTGCAGTGAGCTGGAGAGCTGTTCTCTGTGGAATGGAGGTAGATGCATCAACTTCAAAGGGAGTGTCTTGCAGTGCTGCAAGGTAGAGTGTTCTGTGGAATGGAGGTAGATGCATCAACTTCAAAGGGAGTGTCTTGCAGTGAGCCAAGGTAGAGCTGTTCTGTGGAATGGAGGTAGATGCATCAACTTCAAAGGGAGTGTCTTGCAGTGAGCCAAGGTAGAGCTGTTCTGTGGAATGGAGGTAGATGCATCAACTTCAAAGGGAGTGTCTTGCAGTGAGCCAAGGTAGAGCTGTTCTGTGGAATGGAGGTAGATGCATCAACTTCAAAGGAGTGTCTTGCAGTGAGCCAAGGTAGAGCTGTTCTTGGAATGGAGGTGAGCATCAACTTCAAAGGGAGTGTCTTGCAGTGAGCCAAAAGGTATGTTCTGTGGAATGGAGGTAGATGCATCAACTTCAAAGGGGAGTGTCTTGCAGTGAGCCAAGGTAGAGCTGTTCTGTGGAATGGAGGTAGATGCATCAACTTCAAAGGGAGTGTCTTGCAGTGAGCCAAGGTAGAGCTGTTCTGTGGAATGGAGGTAGATGCATCAACTTCAAAGGGAGTGTCTTGCAGTGAGCCAAGGTAGAGCTGTTCTGTGGAATGGAGGTAGATGCATCAACTTCAAAGGGAGTGTCTTGCAGTGAGCCAAGGTAGTTCTGTGGAATGGAGGTAGATGCATCAAGCCAAGGTAGAGCTGTTCTGTGGAATGGAGGTAGATGCATCAACTTCAAAGGGAGTGTCTTGCAGTGAGCCAAGGTAGTGCTGTTCTGTGGAATGGAGGTAGATGCATCAACTTCAAAGGGAGTGTCTTGCAGTGAGCCAAGGTAGAGCTGTTCTGTGGAATCTAATTGAACAGAGTATAACAGCTCCTCCAGATCACAGTCCAATTCATAGTCAGTGAATGGCAGTGAGTTCAGTGATTTCTGGAATAAGATTATTGTTGGTAAAGAGAGAATTTTTTTCTGGTCTTGTTGAGATTGTTAATGCTTTGCTGCTATTATATTCATTTCCCTTGCCACACGCTTCTGACACCAGTTGTTATATTATGTGTATGGTAGTGAGAGAAAGGAATAATGAAGATTAGAGTGAAATGTTTATTGTTGGTAGGTTTTACAGGAATATGGCTGGGTGTATGTGTAATGTCGCAAGATATGGTTAGTGCACATTTGCTTGATTGAGGTCATGGTTGTAGGTCATCTTGTCATTGGTAGATCTATTGTATGGAACAGATGTTGCTGAGTTGACAGCATGTTTCAGGAGGCCAGTTCTGTGGAATGGAGGTTGCTGTGTTGACTGAAAAGTGAGTAAATGAATTGAGCTATTCTGTGGGATGGAGGTAGCTGCGTCAACTGTGAAGAGAGTGCTTTGTAGTGAGTTGAGTTAAAGCTGTTCTGTGGAACAGACATATCTACATTGACTTTGAAGGGAGTGCTTTGTAAATGAGTTACGGTTGAGCGGTTTGTGGAATGGAGGAAGTTGCATCGACTGCAAAGAGAGTGCATTGTAGCTAGTCGAGGTAGAGCTGCTCTGTGAAGCTGCATCGACTTTAAAAAGAGTTCCTTGTGAATGAGTTGAGATAGAGATGTTGAGTTGAAAACTGGATAGCTGAGCTTGTAGGTCAAGCCAGGATGTGGTAACAATCATTGAAATTCGTGGTCATGTTAAGTGGTGGCAGTGAAGGCAGCAACTGTGGCGGTAGTAGTACTTTGCATGGTGGCTAGTCCACCATTCTGTTGTCATGGTGATGGGGTTATGCCTGCTGTAGCAGCTCCCTGTGTGACGGTCAACAGCCATGCTGGCCACAACTATCCCTTGTTCATCCTCAGGGCCTGCTTTTAAGCAGTTCTGATAGTCCCAAGTGGCATCTCTTTAACTGGCAGGAACGTTCATGTTTTGCCACTGCTGGAGTTCACTTTGTAGACCAGGTGTGGTGTTCGGAGCTCAATGTGCAGAAAAAGACTTTTGTTATTTCATCTTTTGCTTTCACAGTGGTCACATCTTGCCAGCATGCAGAATGGATCGGAATGAGATCTAATTGCAACAGAGTATAACATAATATTAATCTATTTCAACATACCTATTATATATATTTGCTCAGCTTAGTTTTGTACATCAAAAAGAAATGGGGATGGGATAAGATAATGTAGCAAACTTCCAAGTGATAAGTATCTGCTGTCTGATTAAAAAAACAACATTTTTAATTCTAACCACAACACCAAACTAATTAGAGCAACTATTTCGTATACACAACTCTTTCAATCAACAAGGAAGCTTTGAGATATTTACTTGCATGGTGGCAGAAAGATTGTATTGCACTAATCATCCAAGTCCAAATGCATTAAAAATCCTATCCTAACTTTTACCTGGCAAGTGGAGATACTTTAAAAACCAAATCCTCACAAGTGGCACTGGTAAGAAATAAGCAATTACGTCTCCTTGTAAAGCTAACCCTAACATGTTTATGAAGTTAAATTTAGCCTGATACATGGTCAAATGGAATTAGGAAGATTGTACTACATCAAGTGAGGTGGATATTTCTTCCTTAAGAAATAGCTCTCAAAAAACTGACCACAGTGAGAAATATTATATCAACCACAGTACAGGCTCTATCCTAACTACTAAATATATATTTCTTATAAGAATAATACATTTTTACTCAAGCATTCATGTTTACAACTTGCCAAAACTCAGTTTATTAGTTTTCTGTCCCAAAAAAGTAAATCTGTTATCATGACTATTGTATAAACATGTCAGTCAGTCAGTTATGTATCATTTGTGATACATGCTTGGGTGATCATGTGTCTTTTGATACACGAGTGACTAGGCAGAAGATTTTTCCCACAGTAGGTTGCCTTTTCTTCTCCGGTAGACTGGTTGCTAACCAAGGCTAAAGAACCAAGTCTATCCTGCTATTCGACCCATAGATGGTGGGAGAAGAGATAGAATCATACCTTTCCCAAAGATATTTGTGCATATAAATATCAGTAGATCTTAATTAAATCAATTGCCTTCTAAATCTTTCAGATTCTCATGTTAAATGATAAACATTGAAACTACATTGATAAACATATAAATTACATTGAAGAAAGATAATTTTGCACATTAGAGAAATTTAATGAATTCTAGGCACAAAGTATCAAGTACTTGTAATGATAAAAACAATTAGCTCATTAGCTAAGGAAGAAAAATCTATTGAAATGATCTTTGCAATGTTGGATGACATCAAACCTGAAAATTAGAAAGTCATTGATGATTTTTCTTATTATATTTTTATGATAATGACTTTGTTATTTTCCTCATCACCACTCTTCTGCTTCAACATTTTGTTTAGTCCTTTGTTTATTTTTATAGTCTTCTTTTCCAGTCTTTTCTTTCTCTTGCTTTCCTTCTTTCATTGTAATCTTTCTTTTTCATTTTCTTTTCTATTTCACTCTAATCTTTTTGTATTCTTCTTTTCCTTCTTTCACTCTAATCTTTTTCATTCCTTTCTTTTCTCTTTCACACTAATCATTCCTTTCTTTCTTTCATTCTTTCAGTCTAAATTTTTTGTATTATTTCTTTTCTCTTTCACAGAAATCTTTCTTTTTCATTTCTTTCTCTTTTCCTTCTTTCACTTTAATCATTTTTCATTTCTTTTCATGCTAATCTTTTTTATTTTATACCATAATCTTATTTGTTCATTCTTTTCCTTTCCTTTTTTTTCACTGTAATCGTTTTCATTTTATTTTCCCTTTGTTATTCTTTCACTCTAATCTTCCATTCACATTTTTTCTCTTTTTTTCTTTTTCCACTGGTCTTTCTTTTTCATTCTTATTTGTAATTTATACTTTTTCTAATTTCCTCTTACCTTCTATTCATTTTTACATTTCGTTCAACCTATTTTCATAGGTTTACTTCCTTTGTTTTGTTTCTTTCTTTTCGGTCACTATTTTTCTCTTTTTACCGTTTCTTTTCTTTCTTTTTTATACTTCCCTCAATCTTCTCTTCCCTTATTTTCATCATATCTTTTCCTTTGTATTATTTTTTACTTTTCCTTCTCTTCCTTTTAGTTACTTTCTCTTTCTCCCTTTCCTGATCTTCCATTTTTTCTTTAATTTATTCTTCGTAAAATTTTCATTGTTTTTTTTAATTCTTTATTTCTTATCTTTCTTTTAACATCAATATTTCTCAAAATCCATTCTAATTTTCTAGCACTCTGTTCTTCATCCTAATTTCTGTCATACAAATGCATAGTTTTATTGCATATTTCAGGCAAGAAACATATGATAATGCAGAAATAAGCTCCCATAATTTAACATTTCTAGTTTAAATTTAATTTCATAGGTAATAAGAAAGTACTACATAAAAAAATTTGGATATTGAAAAAATAAAATATGTATAAAGAGAAGATGAAGATGAAAGAGTGTTAAAAAGTAATAGCAGTTGTATTAATAGAAAGACTGAAAGAGATATGAGACTTGAATGAGATAAATAGATAATAGAAACAGATTTTTTCATACTAAATTCATTATTAGGATTATTTTGATTTATCAAAGAACTTATAACTAAAATGTAATCTGACTGTAAGACTTTTTAAATAAATTTTTTGCTTTGACCTTTTGTTTTTCCATTACCTGATCCTGCAAATCGCATCAGTTAACCAAATAATGTAGATCTATATCAAGAATATCAGAAAGTCAAATTCTGGCAAAGAGCTGGGCAGAGAAATGCAAGGAAAAGTGAAATTGAATTTGAAAATCAGATAAGAATTAAAGAAAAAGAAAATAATCTTTAGAGAAACTTGAAACTCCTTTTTGAAAAAGCAAAAATGATATTTAAAAAGAAAGTCAAGAAAAAGCTGATAATATGAATAAGTTAATCAATTCATCAATCAAATGATACTTGCAATAAAAAAAATAGGAATGATGGCATAAGACACAGAGTTCACTGTAAAGAAAATTACCAATAACTGTAAGTAGAATGGGACAAATAAATTCAAATAATAGAAAGCTTTGATGTGTTGAAAACACAAGTTAATGACATGAACTAAATTGTATGAATTGGTTGACAAGCAAATATACAGGTCATCATGATTACATCCTCATCACCATTATCAATCAAAACAACAACAAAATGAACTTTAAAATTCAGATGAATCAATCTGAGTTAGAAAACCAGATCTGGTCTCCTTAAACCAAGAGAAAAAATTCTGCCAGGCACTTAAACTTGCTTTTGCAGCAGGCCACAGAATGAAATTAAAAAAAGCAATAAGCACAGAAAATATCATAACTTTAGTCTAGAACTGGAAAAATATAGGAAATGAATTGTACCTATCATTATTTGTGTACTTTGAACAAAGAGCTTGCAAAAGTGGAAGAATTGAATGCCTGGAAGAATGAAAACTATTGAAATGACTATATTACTAAAGATAGTTAGAATACTGAGGAGAGTGCTGAGGTATTGTGTAAAATCCAGCTCAAGTCACATCATTTTCTTTATCTACTGTCTCACTTTGAGACATTGACTATCTAGTTCTCCACAACTTCCTATCCATTATAGCTCATAACAATGTTTGTCTTTTTACTATCTCACCCACTTTCTGTCATGTCATCCATTTACACAAGCTTGTTAGGTAGGTTACACATTTTTTCCTTCGACCCCACTTCCTTTCAGTATGTCTTGTCAGTGCCAAATTCTCCATGACCTCTTTTCTCATTATGTATCATAAAAATTTAAATGGTTTCTTTTTGATTTTATGTATATATATCCTTTTTGCTTCCATTTTCTTTAAAATTACTCATTGTTCACATGCTCCATCCATATATTCTCAGCATCCTTCTGTAGAATGACATCTTTATTGCTTCAAGTTTTCTATTCATCTATGAGGAAATTTTCCAACATTCACTAAATTTTCCAACATGCCATATAGAAGGATTGATATTATGTAGTGGATCAGCATTATTTTCTTTCTTTCTAATAAAATTTTCCCATTTCTTAATACTTTATAGAGCATTTTGTAGGTACCTTTCACTCTTCCAATTTGTAACTCATAAAATGTCTTTAAAATATTAAAGGCATGATATTTGAAATGTACATAAACACTTTTTAACATCTAAACAACAGTCAACTATACTTTCACATTATTCCTTTGTTAATATTAGGGCAAATAATATTTGTTATTTATTATTATTGTTAATTTATTGCCAGTTTTGGAAAATAACATATTTTCAATTGTGATTTTAATTTTGAATAATATTACTCAATCAGTGAAAATGTCCATTTCATTTTAGTCCATTTTTAGACACACATGGGAAACCTTTCAATATGATTTTCAAATTTAAAGTTTATATGATTTTAAGCTGGGATTTTATGGAGTTGAATTTGTAAGGAATATATCAGGTCATCCCATAAGTTCTGTCTGAATTTTAACTTTTTGTTAAAATGAACAAAATTTAAAGAGTATTTTATAATGTCTAATGAAGTTGAACATTATTTTTATGTTTAGATGCATTTAAACTGATCAAATTTTATTTCAGAGAACAATAAAATTAAATTTTGTTTGATTAAAACCCTGCTAACATGGAAGTACCCAAGAATCATTTGAGGCACATAATGCTTTATGAGATCAAGAAAGGAAACTCAGCAGCCAAAGCAGCTAGAAACATTCACTCAGTTTATGGAGAGGAATGTGTGAATGAAAGAACTTGCAGAAGATGGTTTGCAAAATTCAGAGGTGGAGATTTCATCCTTGAAGATGAAGATCGAACTGGACATCCAGTTGAGTTTAATGAAAAGCTTCTTGGAGCAGCCCTTGAAGAAAATCCTGCTTTATCAGTTGAGGAATTGGCAGTGGTTCTCAGTTCAAACCATACAACTGTTCATCGTCATCTTCAAAAACTTGGAAAAGTTCCTAAACTTGGAAAATGGGTGCCTCATGAATTGTCTGAAAAGAACCTCAAATGCCGAGTTGACATCTGCTCTTCTTTCCATTCTCGCCAACTTGTTTCACCTTTTCTGGATAGACTTGTGACTGGCGACGAAAAATGGATCTTTTATCAAAATGTTAAGTGTCGTAGACAGTGGCTTGGTAAAGGGAAAGGACCCCAGCCACAGCCGAGAAAGGAACTTCATTGGCAAAAGGTTCTTCTTTCAATCTGGTGGGATCACCAAGGAATAATCCACTTTGAATTCTTACCACCTAATGCAACAATTAATGCTCAAATATACTGTCAGAAATTAGAGCATTTGAACCAAGCTTTGAGGAAAAAAAGACCTGCTCTAGTGAATCGAAAAGAGGTGATGTTTCATCAGGACAATGCGCGACCCCACACAGCAAGAATCACGTCACAAAAGATTGAAGAACTTGGTTAGGAGAAAATTCCTCATCCACCTTATTCTCCCAATCTTGCTCCTTCAGACTACCATTTGTTTCGTAGCTTACAGAATCATTTGGAAGAAACAGCTTTTGTAACACAGGAAGAGGTTAAAACTGACATTTGTGAGTTCTTTGAATCAAAGCCAAAAGAATTTTACAGTAATGGAATTAGTTTACTTGTTAATAGATGGAAATAAGTCATAGATAATCAGGGAAAATACATTGTTGATTGAATCTGTAATTAAATGTAACATTTGGTCACTTGTTTTCTTTATTCAAAATTCAGACAGAACTTATGGGATGACCTGATAACTACACATTTGTGAATAATACTGTTAGTGAACCAGCAGTGAAATTTTGACAGCAAAAATTTTCAAGTGGATATTTCAATTTACAAAATCCAAAATAGAGGTTGGTGAAAACTATCAATCAATGCTGAATGTTTGAAGTTTGTGATGTTAATCATCTAAAAACCTCAAAGAACTAACAGCAAATGTCAGTATATAGCTTAGAACCATTTCAAAGTCATTGCAATGATTCCATTTGATTTCTATGAAGAACAAAAATTCAGACATTATATTATGTTCTATGAAGAACAAAAATTCAGACATTGTATTATGTTCATTGGTATGAAATTGGTCAGTTTTTGCATTGAATCATTACCTTTGATGAAAAATGGAGTTTGTATATGTGGGAAAGTAGTGTACAGTCACTGGATATGAAAGAGAAGACAAAACATCAATTAAACTTATACTATCATTTCTGGTGAACAGGTATGGCTTGATAACATTTTAGCTTCTTCAAAATAACCAAATAATCCATATAACTGTACATAAATTTGAAATAGTGCATTCAAATTCAAACTGTTTGGTGACTAGAAAAATGTTATTTGCTACATGTTAATGCCACTTCAAAAACAATATTATGAAAATTAAGCAGAAGCTGAATTATACCCTATCTATATAATCTTTATTATGGATTACCTTTATAAGAAACCTCTAGATGTTCTGAAATTTGGTCTGGACTTGTGCAACCCCTTACACTTCTAAAAAAATAAAAGTAGTCATCCACATAATGCTACAGGCAGAAATGTCAATAATTAACTTGAAGAAGCCTTCAATGGATTTATTGGTCATCAAATTAATCCATTTTTAGGAAGAGAATTGTCATCAAGCAGCAATAAATATAAAGAGTCCAAGAAAATATATTTTTATTAATTTTTTTTTATTCTGTTTAAATAAATCATCATATTTATAATAAAAATTAAAATCTGTATATTGAGAATAAATAAAATTATAACATGGTAAACAGAATGGACATAATTAAAAAGAAGATAAAAATGGAAATCAACTAGGGTAGTTTAATATAAAAGAAGAGAGAGAAAAAGAAAATAATTTTTAAAAAATAAGCTAACTGATTATTGTTCCTCCGTCATTATAATGTAATCAAGGAAAATAAGATTTTTGTGCACAACTGACTAAAAGGAAACATGAAACAAAAAATATAGCATATCAATAATATACTGAGGTGGGTATATTTTAAAGACAAATCATACTGAGTCCCAGGAGCCATTCCTTCTGTTTACATAACATAGGTTGTCTTGACCTAATGAAAATAGTTTCTTTTAAATGATGATTAGAATGTGATCAAGACAAAATTGAGAACATGTCTTATTGGTAGGATGATGCACCCTCCTGATTTTGAATAAGGTGTTCTACAAT